TTTTTAACGGTTCCGTGACTAAACCGTGATTAGAACCGTGACTACGGTCCGTGACTACAGGCGAATTTTTTTGTAGTGTTAGTCCATTGAAAATATATACTCCGTATTATATTCGCTTATATATATGTATGCATATTTCTTTACGGAGTACATGTTTACTTATGTACTTGCTTTGCCGTCATATTTCACACAAAACCACACATTTTTTTTGCCTATTTTTGTAGTGAAAAATATCATTTGGAGTATTGTTTTCAGTTTTTTTTTATTTTGTGCAAACCTGCGGATGATGATTCTTTTACCCCATACTATACGTTTGCTAGTGTTTGTTTTACTATTTATAATTATTATTTTATTAACAACATATAAATCATGTTCTCCTAAAGTTTTGTAAAACAAATTTTATTAAAAAATAAATGAATAAATTAATCATTTGTTTTTTACTTTGATGCTTATTTACCTCATTTTTTTTAAATATACACATAATTTAGTCATTCTGTTTATCTTTTAAACATGATTTTAGTATAATGTTCCCTAATTTTTTTTCCTACCCATTCAAAATAAAATCATTTTGCTATTTATTATATCTTCTCTTCTCTTAATAATTTTTTTGAAATAATTTGAAGTATACCACTTTTATAAAATTTGTGCGATGAATGATAACATTAATTCATTCATCTAATCCCATATCTTCTCTTAATTATTTGTGTGATAAATAATTTTCGCACAAAGATTTATAAATTTAATTGGCACCTAATACAAGTACATAGATGTACACATAACCACATGCCATAGTGTATTTTTTTTATAAAAAAAAGATGACCAATCAATTTGATCGGATTTTGACATTCTGGACTCAAATGGACTCGAGTACTTTCAATACTTATTTCAAAAACTACATTTCTTACTATATGCTACTACGACACACTTTGTGAAAAGTAAATCACAAAAACTTATTTGATATAAATAAATTGTCCATTTTTTTAATGCATACTCCTCTAGATGTATACTAATGAAAAGGTATAAATTAAAAAGTTATATCACTCAAAGGCTTTTAGCTCGATCTCTGTAGTGAAAGAGATGTATTAACATGATGTCCTTTGATGCTATAACATTTTTTTGGGAAAAAGAAATCTCTTCAGAGCTATTTGGGTAAAAAAAATCCAAATATAATACGAAAATGTGATTTTTAAAATAAATCTCTTAATATAAGAGGATTAAATGTGATTATCTCATCAGGATATGTATAACTTGAAAATATACTTTTAGTTTTAATCTTCGTAAAATCTCTAAAGAACAAGAGATTCACCGCATGAGAATGAGAATATAAATTAAATTTCATGATTGTCCACTATTTTGAGAATAAGAACATTCTCTAATTGTTGGGTTTATCCATTTTTTATTTTACTCTTTCATGAGTTTTATAAATATGAACATTACTACTTCTAATTAGACTTTTATTTCAAGTCTTAAAGTTAGGTATAAATTATATTGATTTGAGATTTTTAATTAATTTAACATCTCATTGTTCTATCTTAAATTATATTTGAGATGTTTATGCATTCGAATTCATTAAATGCTTATCTAAAAATTTTATTCATAAAAGAACGGATACAAAGGAATATATCCATAAAATAGTAGAATGATATGTACGACATTCGACTTGAGGTCATAGTACTCTAAGGTATATGAGTGACATTTGTAAATTATTGCAACCTATGACAAATAGGTGTTTTAACACGTTGTGGGGATGCACAATAAATTAAGGAATATATATTTATTGAAATAATTCCTTAAAATCATTTATGCTTGAAAGAATTGTACCCATGACCTCTAAATGCATCTAGAAGTCACCAAAGTTTGCTACGTTCGAAATTTATTTATCACAATAGTCCTTACTAAGAATGGAATCATGTCATGAGTTCGAATCTGGTGAGAAGCCTCTTGTCAAAGTAACAAGAATGGCTTTATATACCTTTTGTGGGGCTTCCCGAACCCTCACAATGTGAGGACACCAATGTCCACTGAGGTACCCTCAATGTTTTTTTTACATAGAAACTCGCTATAAAAATGAGATAGAAAATATTAGATTGCATCTAATAAATGCAAAAGAAAATGCATATTTAAGCAGGTTATGAGTCAAAGTGGTCATTGACTCATACAAACTTTGAAATAACTCATTCAGCTTATTAATCATTTGAATAAAGGATAAAATGAAATCCAACACATTGTAAGTTGTTGGCCTCAGCATTGCTAAATAGCACAACATTATTCATCTTCTAAAGTACAAGAAGAAATATTTACTTTTTGTGAGGCCTTAGAAGTACAATAGTAGACATGTCAATTATTTCTTAAAGTTTACTTCTTAGCAATAATAGAATCGAGATTTGTCTATGCTAAGGATATAAAAATGCAGATATCTCATTTTTCAATACAATGTGACATGTGAGGACTCATCTACCAAAATGCGGGTCATTTAAGTAATTATGGTTTGGTAGAAAGTTACTCATGCTATCTATTTTTCTTTTACATAAAAATGTTGCATTTGCAAAACTTCTAGCAAAACATATTTATTAAGGGTCCACCACCTGACCAATCAAGTCTATATGACTTGCTACTGCTAGACAGTTCTCATCAAAAGTACTTGATGATTATTGCATATTTTTCGAGATCAATGAAAAACATCTCACATCTCATGTGAAAAATAAGAACTCAGTAACGTTTACATCTAAAAAAATGTAGATGATGAAAATTATATCTATTACGCGCGCACTAATTAATCATTTTTTTCATGGGATTATGCAATATTGGAAGCACTCTTACACATTTGTTTTTTTAGATCGATAGTAGACAATCACCTTTGTGTATACTAGTTGATGACTAGATCTTAGCCTGAGATTTTTAACTTATGCATATATGGTTGTTAACTACTTGTGCCTAATGCGCCTCCCACAATGCACTATAATCGGTCTTAAAAGACAAATAATTTTGTGTTGGATACGAATCCCCAACAATAACCCGCTATTAGCCTTAACAGATAATGTGTGCACCGCTTTGCGGGATATGACTTTGATGAGACAATTGATTTTCCTGTCATTAGGGGGAGATTAGAGAAAGAACTCTTATGGTGAAATTCTTACTGATGCTACTGAATACCGTAGTATGGTAGGTGCTTTACAGTATTTCATTTTGACTAGACCTGATATTACTTATGCTGTACACCTGGTTTCTCAGTTTATGCATGCTCCTCGCACTACTCACCTTTTAGCTGTGAAGCGTATCTATAGATATTTGCAGGGTACCGTAGATTACGATTTATGGCTTCAGTCCAAGCCTGATGTTTCACTTATTATTGCTTATTCTGATGCGGATTGGGCTGGATGTCCGGACAGTAGCAGATCTACGACAGGTTATGCAGTTTTTCTTGGTTCTAATTTAATCTCCTGGCATTCCAAGAAGCAACCTACAATTTCTAAGTCCTCCACTAAAGCTGAATACTGTGCCATTGCGTACACGGTTCAGGATACATTATTTATTCGCTCTCTCCTGGAGGATATGGGTATACTTATTTCTGCTCCTGTTCAACTTCATTGTGATAATGTCTCTGCTTCTTATCTGGCGGTGAATCCTATTCAGCATGATTGTAGCAAGCATATAAAAAAAGACTATCATTTTGATCGAGAACGTGTGGTTCATGGTGATCTTGTGGTTAAATATGTCCCTACTCAGTTGCAGCTCGCTGATATTTTTACTAAAACTCTTTCTAGTCAGCGTTTTCAATTTTTACGTTCTAATCCGCATGTTGTTTCCCCTACACAGATTGAGGGGGTGTAATAGCTCATAATATAGGGACTTCTATGTAATTTGTGATTCTTAGTTTATTATATATACAACATTACCACACCTATTAGGGTGAGGGATTATTTCATAATTATTATATTTGCATACAATTTAGTGGTTTCCAATCATGTTTTCTTTATTGGTATTTGTGTTGTAATTAGCTTAACTAATAGACAACCGTCCACCTTTATGTTAGGGCCCATACGTCTCACTGATAGGCTCATTATTGTAATAGGCCTATCCCCCAGACCAATAAAGTCTGGTTGATAGTCTCGAAACCAAGGGCGAGTGAGTAGCGCAATAGACTAGGCATCCCATATTTAAGCTACAGAGATATTAGAGAGAATAGTTGTCGATCGTACCTGTACAGAAGTTCAAAAATATTATGTATTGAATCAAAGTTCTTTTCTTCTTTTTTCTACTCTACTCTATTGCGTTCGACTGTTGCCAACAGGTGGTATTCGAACCGAGGCGTGAGTCCGATTGAAGTTGTCTGCATTTCTCGACCTACATCGATGAAGAAGACATGTATCCCGATGTGGTGTATTATACCGCCATCTGAAGGTTTATCGCCATTTAAAGAAGAATACATCCATTCACGTGTTTATCGCGTTTGTAGTTCATCGTGAAGCCTTATCGACATTGGAAGCATTTCGCGTGTCATTTGGCGATCACGATTCGGGATTGCACTTTATCACCAAAGCTGCTGGAATAGTATCGCTGTTTCAACTTAGAGAAGTATCACCATTCTGTATCGCGATTGTCTATCACCATTCTTCCTGCAACGTTGGCAATATCACAGTTGTGTAGCCTATCTTATCGCAATTGAACCTTGAACAATATCACGATTCTCTTATCGTGATTAGTAAAGCGAAAACACAATGTATTGCTATTTGCCTATCGCGAATCAGTGTTGAAGTTGCTCTATCGCGATTCAGTGTCGATTGCCTATCGCGATTCACGTAGAGTTCGTACTACGTATAATGTATGCATGTTTGCATACATGTAAAATATGACTCAAATACTTGAATGTCTTCGACAAATGGGTGAGATATGATCATATGAGTAAAAATCATATCCGACCAGAACAGCAGTATTCTAATTTCTGAGTGAGTGGTCTTACACTCTGGCACACTTGCAATGCTTAGAAAGTCTAGTTACTTAAAGCTAATTACAATTACGTTTTGTGATCATTAATCTGGAGCAATGTGCACAGAATATTACAACAATTGCTATCATTCTCAAAGATTTATTTTTGAAGACAAAAACAAAAACAAAAACATCTATCTTTGGTGATCTATTCTCAGACATTAAAACACTAGAAGGAGATGTACTAGCAGAGTAACAGCTGAAGCAATATATGATCAAGTTCCCTAAGAAAATAATAGGTTGGTTGCGTCAATAAAGCAAGCAGCTTTAATTCGCAAGCACAACCAAGAAAGGACATTACAACATGCAGCTGCCCTTGAGAAATAACTATGACATACAAATTTATCAATCATTCTTCATTAGCACATTCTCTGAACTCGTCATATTGACACCTGCAAAGGGGTTCATCCAAGTATTACTAGAAACATCATCAATTTACACAAGAATAACAAGGCATAATCTTCTCTCAGCATATTAATAGTAATCACAGTTTAACCAACCATATGAACGGCCACACAAATTGTCAATCACTTGTAGTAAGCATTGTTATAAATATCCCTGCCTCATTATAGCTCATTGATCTTTACATTCATGGTATGTAACACTTGGTTTCGGTATCAACGGCAAAAGTATTCCGCTTTGGTTCATATGATTATTAGGTCAGCCCCACTTTTTGGTTGTGAACTTTTACTTTTCCGCTAAAAGTCCCATGACTATGGAAGATTTCTTACCATTTTTGGTATTTACTGGTCAGTTAGGCGAAAATCAACAAGAAACACTGAATACGAGACGTCCATAGTCATTCTCCAAAAGTAGAATAATTGAGAGCCGATGACCGAAAATGAGTTTTGAGCATAATCAAAGTGTGTACGATAGTGGAAAATTTTCTCCAGAAAATTATAACTTACCATCTCATGTAGTTTTGTGGTTGTGCTTCTAAAATGATAGAAAAGTGCTTGCACTTAATAGTCTTGCAAATAACAAAGCACACAATAATAAATGTAAGATCACATGCAAACGCAAGCAGTGGCATCCATAGTGAAAGAAAATAAAGACTATTGCCTCACCTATCCATAGATAATCTTTGCAACTGCTGATGGTCGCTGCAGTCGTATAAGCTCTTTTAGTATCAGAAACCCTTGTCTTTCATCGCATCCTTCGGCATTGGGTTTGATTATCATTTTCACAAGCCCTGGAGATTTAGTTAAAAGAAGCTTTGCAAGTGCCATTTGGTTCCTTGTACCAGTAAAACCTTCCAACTTCACCCTCCTCAGCTGATCTAGTTTCACATCTGAGTATTCTTCAACATCCAGTGACTCGAGAGAAGGATTTTGGTCAGCAGCACCAGTAGACTTAAATAGCTAAAAGATAGAAAATGATTATTAGCACATATAAGAAGCCAAAAAATGTGAATACCGGAATGAATTTAACAACATAAATAAATATAAGCAAACTGCAAACATATGAAAGAAAACCCACTCGAATGATGATGTCTTGCAAGTTTGGTGAGATTCTAACAATGAATAGTACACACAACATTTCCCCAATTTTTTCTAAACATATTTTCCGAAGTTTAAGAGTGTTAAGGTGCACAGCGGTTAGACTAGGCCTTTTTAGTACTCCACTTGCAGCTAAAAACTTCAATTGCTGCAAAGAAAGCACGGTTCTGTATCAGTCTCCAAAACTCATATAACATGTGAGTTTAACATAAAATAAGAGTATACAAAGGTACTTTGTGGTAGGGCACGTTTGTACTTTTTTGCTGACACGACTTTTTTGCTATATACATCTAATGTGGCACTATTAATCTAGTATAGTGAAGATTACCACTCATGCGCAACCGTTTCTATAGTAGCAATCAGCGTAAGTGCAGTTGTGGGCCGCCAGTCACTTACCACCAGTTTTTTAGATTGTCATTTTTTGCATACCAATGTATTGATAAATCAATCCTAGACGACGATGTATTACCTTCAGGGTTGTCGTAGGAGACTATTTTTTTACATCAATGCAAATAGAGTTTATTAAGTTTGGGCAAAAATATATAATGTAAACAATTTACTAACTTCACTATATCAATTAGTAACTAACATTTAACAACGTTTCTAGCCACTAATTTTTTTAAACTAATCAATATAGATTTGTAGTGTTGTACTTGAAAGTTTTAATACACAATAATTTCTTAATGTAGTTAATAGATTTTCTCCCAAAGTTAAATTTATATGCATAAAGGTGCAAAACAACAGTGACTGACAACAGCAACTGGCACAATGGAGGTAATCAATTTTCATCACAAATTGATTTAACTACATATAAGAATGAAAATAACTTGTGGTTGGTAACTGGCGATTGGCGGCACTTTTGTTGCTGGAGGCAGTGGTGGCGCATGTTTTTATGGTTGTAAAAGTGGAAATGGTAGTGTATCAAGTGTCAACAATAATAGTTACCACATCCAGTCGTGCCACATATGGATGTAAATCATAGTGACTCAACTTGAGTCACTATGATTTACATCCTCCCAAATGCTCTGTTGGGTCGGAGCGTAGGGGTTCTTAAGGTTGGGGAGTCAACCTTTTGGAGAAACATATGATCCAAATAAGGAAAATATATAAGCAAAAACAGCCATCTTGATGCTATATGAGACACATTTAATGTCAGTTGGGCATATTTTAATTCTAATGGCCCAATACAAACCCAAGTTCTAACAAAAAATCACTGTCAGACCTACAAGAGCAAACACGCAAGATCACACTTCCAGTACTCATCATCATCATCATCACCATCACACTTCCAGTACTATCAAGAATAAATGTCTAATCTCTCATACCTGAATGAAGTGATTGTCAAAATGTAGAACTCTAAGTGCTGGTAGAGATCTGAAAAGCTCAATAAGATTAGATTCCATGTGTAAAGAACTTTCTTCCTCTGTTTGAATAAGTGAATTGTTACAAATTACAACCTTCTCGAGAAGTGGGGTGTTCTTGAAACAAACGTATTTCACTTTACTTTTAAATTTAAAGTAATGAAGTCTAGGAGCCTGAATCTCAAGGGATTCATGTATGGATGACATTTCTAGCCTCAAGTATTCAAGCAGGGGGCAACAAGCAATGATGCTTTGAAGTTGTTTTGAACTAATGTCTACATTGAACATTTCAATGGTGAGAAGCTGACTAAATCCAATGAAGTCAGAAGGTGGATGAACCAAACAGGACATAAGGGCCATATATTTTAATCTCTGTTACTTGAAAAATGTTGAAGGAAGTTTGTAATGGCTAGATGTAAATACAACTGTGAGATTCTCAACATCACTTTTGGACAAGAAAAACATCAAGCTGTCCATCTCAGGGAAGATTTCAAGCTCAGGAATTGCAAGCACAAACGTGGTTATAGGACCTCCATGTTGCAGCAAAACATGGAGTATCTGCCTAACATATTTATTTTGAAACTCCAATTGGTCACCCCCGCTTGATCCCCGCAAGATTGTCTCATCAAAACAAAGATGCGGAACTTTAGTCCACGTGTACCTCCACTTACTTGAGAGCACACTCGTCCTTACAGCATCTCGAAGAGGCAGGTGAATTAAGATGGTTTCTCTTAGGCTCTGGGGGAGGTTGCTGATGATATCTTGATGATAATTCCTTTTCACTGGAGTGCCACTGTATTTCTTTTTCAGAGGCATTCTCTGAAATAGTGGAATTGCACTTCTTACTTCACTTCAAACATAAAAATACTAATCTCCAGTACCTGCACCATTGAGTTTACATGAACAACTATACATTTGTCATTACCACATGCAATTCATATCAAGCTGTAAAACACGCAACATGATGTTTATTCCCCCCGCACTGCACATAAAATTCAGCTTTAAATTCTTTAGTGTATAAGACTTATAAAAGTTAAATAGCTGACTGAAAAGAAGTTTTCAAAACCAAAAAAGAGGTAAAAAAGCAAAGTTCGAAACTTGGAAATATTTCTTATAGGGAATTATAATTAAAATACCCCAAACTTTAATGGGGTGTGAGATAAGCACCCCAAACTTGCATATGTAATTTAAATACCCCAAACTTTATATAAAAAGTTATTTTGGCACCACGGTCATTATTATTTCTTTCAAAAATATTAATTTTTGGTGTTTATTTCATAATTTGATAATTTTTAGCATTCATAAAGATACAATTAACATTCTAAGCTTCCATTGTAAAATAAGTAATATTACCCACCACTATATATAATTGGGAAATATAATTAAAATACCCCAAACTTTGATGGAGTGTGAGATAAGATGTAATTTAAATACCTCAAACTTTATACTTCATATAAAAAGTTATTTTAGCACCATGTAATTGTTTTATATATGATGAATGATGATGATTACTTTCTGAAAAAGAACAGAACCGAACTTCAATAAGCTCGCAGTTCAGTGAACAAACTGGGAAAATCTACAGCATATTTTTTATTATTTCATCCCATCAAGTGGGCTTTGACGGTATACAACAATCAAAATGTATTCAGGGCATCTATAAACGGTAGCAGGAGTAAGAATTACCTACAGAAAATTCTAATCACTGTCCCGAGAACACACAATATTTCATAATCATATGTGAAAACGAACAAAAAATATATATTCGTAAGAACAGAAACAACAACACACCAACCAACCTGATGTCGTAATTAAAATGAAGTTTACTTGAGAACGAAGATCTTCGCCACCTCTGTAGGAAGCCCTAACGTGATACAATGGATACAAGAATGCAAATAAAAAGGCCAGCAGCTAAGTGTGTGGCGTTCGAAATAGTGCTGGTACACTTCTCCATAAGAATAACCATGGATTCATGTGCGTAGCAGACTAGCAGCCATTGTAGCGTTTGAAGTCTAAAAAGAACAGGTAATTATGGTATGGGAAAAGGAGGCTCTGTTTGATCCTGGACATTTGGGGTGGTTTCACTTGAATTTTTTGATGATTTATCAGTTCCAAATTTCGGCTAAAAATTCCACGGAGAAAGCAGTCAAATAAATGTTTAAAGATAACTGCACAGTTAAACAACGCAGTATATTTCAGAAAATCATTTGACTGCCTTACCGGTTGAATTTTTAGCTGAAATTTCTTATGAGTAAACTAAACTTAATGAAGAAAATGCTCTAAAAAATTCATAAAAAAATTCCACTGGGAACCGCTCCAAATGGTGACGGCCGAACAGAGCCTCTTATAAAAATAGTGATTCGCACTCTTTTGATTAGTTTGAGAGTTTATTTGCACATTTTTCCATTATGGATAGATGTGCCAAGGAGTAGCCATTTTGCCTGTTTATTTGTTTGTTTATTTGTACGTATGTGTAGGTGGCAGTTTTTTAATTTTAGCCGAAAATTGAGTATTAGGATGTTTTTAAGATTTCATTTGCTGGTGTGTTTAAGTCTGCTCTGATCTAATAAACGTCTCGTCTTTGTGTATTTTATAATTGCGGAAGTCAAGTCTGGTATGATCTGTTTAAGTCTGGTCTGATCTGATCTATTTAAGTCTGACTTGATCTGGTCTGATTTATTTAATTCTGGTCTGGTCTGGTAATGAAAACACTTCAAGTAAAAACATCCTTAATGTAGTTATGATTATGTTCTTTTTGCAAACGAGTTAGGAATATGTTATATAGTTGAATATGAAGAGTTTAATGTTAAGCATCGTAATTAATGTTTCATAGCTTCTAATTTACTTCCTTTTTATATTTTTTATTTTACAAAATATTTTGAAATAATAACCATAATCAACGCATATGAATTCTAATATGTGAATCTAATGTAAAATTATACTTTGTGAAATGTGCATTGATATAATATTTTAAAATTATCATAACACATATACTGAATGAGCATACATAACTAACAAAATGAACATCGAAAAATTTAAAACGTCAATTGAAAACTCCAACGTGATCAAATATTCATTTGCATATGCTTATATCTTTATTACCCTGCATAACATAAAGTAGCATCAATATATTATATTGGCAATATATTATATTGGCAAATGAAATTGCACTTGAGTTGCGAATGAGTATAATTTTGTTCGCCTCCCCATTTGGAGGGTGAACATAATCCTCAAGTATTTTACTATTAAAAGTACACCACATTGTCCTTTTCTCCCACTACGCCCATATTCTTCAATATATACCGACAGTGTAGTTTTGTTTTAGAAATGACATCTAGGATGTGGGGTCATTTTAATTTATAGCCATACCCTTTTAATTTCTTTCTCCGTATTTTGTTAAACCATACGGAGTATTATTTCTCCACCGCCCATCTTCTCCGCTTCAACGTTTCAGACCTCCATATTCAGTGTGCTTCGATCGTTGTTTCCTAAATCGCTAGTAGAGAAGATTTCAGACACTTGCGGACGTCCATAAGGTATTTTTCATTACTTCTATCATAGTTAAGGATGCTTTTAGTTCCTTTAGTATTTGAATATTTGATTTTGCACTTGTAAAATAAAAATTTAACTCATACGATAGTAGGGTACACCGATTTCCATTCTTAGAAAAGATCTTCTAACAATTTATCTGTCAAAGTTGGTGATTTGAATAAGTTTATTTTTTTTCTTGAAATATTACATACTTTGTACTTGATATATAAAAAATTGAACTTTATTCATATTATACAGATTTTTAATTTTCTCATACGAATTTTTCTATTCAGTAGATTTTGAATGTTTAATATTTACTCATTATTTTTAGATTTGTAGTCTTGATCAGTTGTCATGAGTAGTATTCCAGACTTCAATTTTTGTGTGAATGAAGACACTCCTATTGTTAATGAAGAGTACAGGGGTTCAAAAAATCAGCTTCTGGAAGAAGGAAATATTGAAATAGAACCTGAAATTGGGATGGAGTTTGATAGTGCAGAAAATGCTTACAATTTTTACAACTCATATGCAAGGAGGATTGGTTTTAGTGTGCGTATTTTCCGAACTAACAAAAGTAGAGTTGATAGTAAACTAATTCAACGTCAAGTTTTAGTGTGTTCATGTGAGGGATTTTACAAAAAAATGAAGACACCACAGAAGAAACGAGATGAGACACGTTGTGATTGCAAAGCATCCTTTGCATTTAAACGTCTTCCAAATGAGAAGTATCAAGTGATTGGTTTTGAATCAGTACATTCTCACGACCTTGCACCCTTTGAACATGCTGGTTACTTGAGATCTCAACGGAAAATTGAATTTACGCAAGCTGAAATGATGACCACAATGCATGCATCCGGCTTGAAGCAAGGACAGATTTTCTCATATATGTGTGCAGAAGCAGGTGGAACTCGGAACCTTAATTTTACAAGATCAGATTGCAATAACTTCCTCCAAAGAAAGCGATCTGAGTTTTTCAAGAAAGGTGATGCAGAATGTCTTCTAGAATACTTCAAGCAGAAGAAAAATGAGAACAAACATTTCTTCTATTCATTTAGGTCACATGAAGATGGTGAAATATGTGGAGTATATTTTGTTGGGTGTGTTTCGGAAAATAAAGAAAAATAATTAAAATAAATTAATTAAATAAAATGACTAGAGGAAAACAAGAAAGGAGATGAAGCAGAATTAGCCAAAGCTCGTGCTACGCACGATTTCCTTAAAACGTATTTGTTGCCTCCCACGGTGCTAGGAGCGTTGCAACAATCGTTTCCCAGGATACGATGACTACGAACTAATGTTTGAGCACACAAACAAGAGTTCCAGCGAACGAGAACCAAGTATGAACACAGAAGGATTTTGAGAGTAGCTGGAAGAGTTTTTAGCTCAAGAAAACGTGAGGAAAGTGATGTGCGTTGTCAAACCGTGTGTTTGTTGCAAAGCACCTGCCAGCTATTTGTAGGAGGATTTGTTGTGAGTTAAATGGGGTGTTAATGGACCTGAACGTTGGACATCAATGACCAGTCCGTTGGGCATTGAATCGTCCATAAACTGTCCATTTAACGCTGCATTAAAAGAGAAGAACGTTGGGCATTAATAGTTGTAACGGAAGAAATGCGTGACAGAAGACCCCTTGGAGGGGTTCTGTCCGAAGCCTGCTCTTCTGGGGAAAAAACAAAAATTAACCGTATCTCTTGAGAAATAGATTTTTGGACGGCATTCGTGTCCGCAGGTCGCCCGCGCACACGAGTCGCGGTTTTTCTTCTCCGTTTCGGGATTTGATCGGCACCCCCCCTGCGCGTAAGAGAGAGCCTTTCCCTTTAGGAATCTTAACTCCTTAAAAGAGGCTTCCCTTTAAAAGGGGGTGAAAATCCCTTGAGTTTTTCGGTGTGGGATAAAACACACTAGAAACTCATCATTTTCCCAGTTTTTCCATTACAACGAGCGAACTTCGAGAATCAATTTCTCATTCACCCGTTATCCGTTTTGAGCGTACCATATATCGAATTGTAGCCCTTAACAAGGAAAATCCGAAACCACTTTGACCCGACCCAAATCGGAAGTGGACCCCACTCAAATAATTGCCCCAAAATGACCATTTAATGCAATTTTTAACACATTTTTCCAACAATCCCCCACATGAATGAAAATTGATTTTCGAGACTTAAAAAGACACGAAGATAGGAGGACACGTTGTGTTCACCGGATGATCCTTGCATACGGAGAGGTAGGTTTTATCCTTTGAACCTTCCGTTGTAAAGACACGTTTATTTACTGGCTGTCTAGTAGACTCGATGTCCTTGAACTATACTGCCGTCGTGTAAACATTGACTTATCTTTACATAAGAACCTTCCAACTTTGTTCCGTTCTCATGGGTGTGCCCGTTTTGGCCATGGGTCACCGTCCTGGTTCTGCAAGAGTTTCTAAAGAACTGAGTCTTCACAGTTCTCCTTCGAAGCGGCCCTCTTCTCTCTCACATAGGTGATTCTTTCACGAGTATCCCGCATACTCTTCCAATGTTATCGAGTAGATCAACATTTTAGAATCATTAAAGCAAACGTTTTTTTGCTAACCTCGTGCGGGAGTCACTGTTTTAACGAGGAGTGGGTAGGAGTCCGGGACCCCCACAGTGACCATCCTTCGCTCTATAATTTAGTTGTCCCTTTTGAACCTAGGACCAACTAGGTTGGGTATCCACTATAGAACTTTTCAATTCACGGGCTTTAGTCCCATTCCTCGTGACAACTTGTCCAACAATTCTCTATCCAATGCCTTGGCTAGCGGATCCGCTATGTTATCCTTTGACTTCACGTAGTCAACAGTGATAACACCCGTTGTGAGGAGTTGTTTAATGGTGTTATGTCTACGACGAACGTGTCTAGACTTACCATTGTAGAGATTGCTCTGTGCCCTTCCAATTGCCGCTTGACAATCGCAATGTATGCATATTGGAGGGACAGGCTTCTCCCAACTTGGAATATCCTCGAGAAAATGGCGTAGCCATTCAGCCTCTTCAGTGCACTTATCCAAGGCTATTAGCTCAGACTCCATCGTGGATCTAGCTATTAACGTTTGTTTTGAGGATTTCCATGACACGGCTGCACCTCCCAAAGTGAAGACATATCCACTTGTGGACTTAGAGTCCTTTATGTCGGATATCCAACTAGCGTCGATATACCCTTCAAGTACAGCTGGATATCTTCCATAGTGCAGTCCAAGGTTTTGGGTTTTACGTAAATACCTCAAAACCCGTATTATTGCCTTCCAGAGTTCATCACCGGGGTTGCTAGTATATCTACTTAGCTTACTAACCACAAAGGCAATATCAGGCCTGGTACAACTCATTAGATACATCAAACTTCCAATAATCCTAGCGTATTCTACTTGAGAAATACACTCTCCACGATTTTTGGTAAGATGAGTGTTTTTATCTAAAGGCGTCCTTGCCTCTTGATAATCATCCTTATCAAATTTAGTAAGGATTTTATCAACGTAATGGGATTGGCTTAGCGTTAGACCGTCAGGTCCTCTAATTATTTTAATCCCAAGGATTAAATCGGCCAGCCCCATATCCTTCATGTCAAATTTAGAATTTAACATGCTTTTGGTAGAATTAATCATTAGATTATTGCTACCCACGATGAGTATATCATCCACGTATAAACATAAAATGACATAGCCGTCTACCGTGCTCTTCACATAGACACATTTGTCACTTTCGTTTATTTTAAACCCATTAATTAACATTGCATGATCGAACTTTTCGTGCCACTGTTTAGGGGCTTGTTTCAATCCATACAATGATTTAATTAATTTACACACTTTCCTTTCTTGGCCTGGAACACGAAAGCCCTCGGGCTGTTCCATATAGATTTCTTCGTCTATATCGCCATTTAGAAAAGCGGTTTTTACGTCCATTTGATGAACTTCCAATTTCCGCAATGCGGCAATTGCTAGTATCATCCTAATGGAATTTATTCTCGTCACAGGAGAATATGTGTCAAAGTAATCATGGCCCTCACGTTGCTTGTATCCTTTGATTACAAGTCTGGCCTTGTACTTATCGATGGAACCGTCCGGTTTCATTTTCCGTTTAAAAATCCACTTGGATCCCAAAGGTTTATTTCCCGGAGGAAGATCAACCAATTCCCATGTGTGATTTTTAAGGATAGAATCCACCTCACTTTTGATGGCTTCTTTCCACATAGGACCTTCAGTAGACGTCACGGCTTCCGTATAAGTCCGTGGCTCATTTTCTACCAAACATGTTAGAAAATCCGGTTCATTTTCTACCATACATGTTAGAATATCCGATTCAAATTCTACCAGGTAGGTGAGAAAATCCGGTCCGAAGGATTTTTCGACTCTAGCACGTTTGCTACGTCTGGGTTCGGGTTCTTCTCCGGATCCCTCGCTAGTATTTTTCATAGCTACGTCAAATGTTCATTTTGACGTGCTAGGCCCTTCGTTGGACTTGCATGGAAATACATCTTCAAAGAATGAACCATTCCTTGATTCAATTATTGTGTTTTTATGTACATCCGGATTATTCGAATCGTACACTAAAAACCGATAAGCACTACTATTTTGTGCATACCCAATAAAAATACAATCCACCGTTTTTGGACCTATTTTTATTTTCTTAGGTGTTGGTACAAGCACCTTAGCAAGACACCCCCACACTCTTAAATATTGATAGGAAGGCCGTCTGCCTTTCCACAACTCGTACGGAGTTTTATCATATTTTTTCCGGGGTTTTATGCTCACATGGGTTGAAATTGTTTCGCCACTTAGAGAAAAACAGTTTGCCGCATCAATACTACTTGCAAAGATGGACAAGGGAATCTACTTATCAAGATATTTGTGATCCTAATGGAGAGATAATTCCAAATGATATTGATCCAACGTTGACTACTCGATACAGTGAGTTATCACATATTTCACAAAGAATTGTTTCGAAAGGCTCCAGAAACATAGATGTCTTTAATATGTGCAAGTCTCTATTACTCAAGGTCGAAGCAAATATTGATGAATACCTGGGTACTAACATAGATGAAAACAATCTGAACTCAGTCATGGTTGATGAACAATCAACACCAAACCTCCAGACCAATTGTCATTTGCGAGATCCAATAAAACGAAGACCAATATCAAGAAAAAGAATTAAAAGTGCACTGGAAAAAAGGTCACGGAAGAGGGCTCAAAGAAAGTGTAAGTCTGAGTACCTTCCATTAATTTTTACTTTGGATGTTCTTTTTATTATTCTTATATTAATTTCAAAACCGTATTTTTTTTGACAAAAGTAGTTAATCTTTACAGGTGATCCATTGAACCCCAACCATGCTATGGAGCCGGTAAACAAGTGATATATATGAGAAAGGAAGGAACAAAATGTGGTACACACAAATGCAAATTGTGTTTTTGTTGGGGTTGAACTGGACAAATTGTAGGTCTGTTGAATTTTTTTTTTTGCTCGACTGGGTTTATGTGTAGAAAGGTTTTAGTCCTATGTCAGATGTGTTACTTTTTGCTTGTGAATTATAGTTTTGAAGGGAAAACGCCTGGCTTTTTTGTAGTGTAAATTATTTATATATTAGTATCATTTACAATACGTCTGTTTTTTTTTTGAGAATCTCGTTATATCATAGTAGATGTTGTTTTTTATTATATGTTTGATTAACTTTTTTGTCAAAAAAAATGTTTGCTTAACTTAGTATGGGTTACTCTGTACTATATACTATCCTCCGTATCATAGGAGTTACAACATTGGAATTTACACATTATTTATGTACTTTATTTTGACTACATTTTACTTATTAATGTATGTGAATTCTTTTTTTTTTGAACTAAATGAAATGTTGCAACTAAAAAAAGGAGGAAGTATTGAAATTCAACTAACAATAATACTACGAGACCTTTTTTTAACGACAAAATTAGCTGAATCTGTTAAAATTGGTGAAAATCTGCTTGAAGTAGTTCAATAAGCTGAATATGCTATATTTTGAAGAAAAAAAAGTTACATTTAAAATAAATTTTATTCCGTTAATTTTGATAAAATGAAGATAACAATTTTTATTTATATTGTAAGAAATACGTTGCACATACTCTTTCTGTAAAGAACTCCGTATAAAACCAAAAAGACCCCACATGTCAAATCTAAATAAATACTCCAAACTAAAGTTGCCCATTGACTACTTAAACAAATAAAGGCCTATGTACTTTTAATAATAAAATACTTGAGGGTTATGTTCACCCTCCAATTGGGGAGGTGAACAAAATTATACTCGTTGCGAATAGCGTTGGGCACGAAATGCAAGCCATGGATGGGACTCGAGCGTCACACAAAATGTGAGGATTTTTTTTTATAATCCAGGTGTGGGGTTTACGCTCCCATAATCCTGGAGTCTATGAACTACCCTCGAAAGTCTCTACACTTTAAATCCGAATCTGATCACAGTCAGCCTCATCTGTACTAGCTCCAAAGGACGAATCCAGCATTACTTACATCACCTTTCAGGCGGCTCCTCCCACCACACGAACCCGCTACCTTCATTACCACCATCTCTCCCCTTGTTGACAAAAATATGACTAAATTTGTGTTTGACAAAAAAGTGACCATGCACCAACGAAACATGTCGCCTCTTCCGCATCCCCTTCTCCTTCGTACCCCAGCGTACTCCCACCCCAACACCGGCCACAGCAGTTTCCGACCGTCGCTATCAACCCCTTCCCTTACCCCTGTTCTTGCCCTTGCCTGCTGTAGAGCCCCCGACCACCCTGCGCACCTCCTGCCCCTCAGTCGCTCCCCTGAAACTCTAATTGCTAGTCGTGTTCATCTTCGGGGAGATAAAATAGCTTTAAAGGAGATGAGAGAGAAGATCTACAGTTGCAGCGGTGATGTCAAGCAACAATTGAGACAGAGAGTTCTCGTTTGTCTCCGACGATCGGAAAGAAAAAGAAGAAAGAGAAGAAATCGACATGAGTCAAGGGGACGCAGTAAGAGGGAATGATCTGTATCTTGCATGGGCGACTCGATGGATGTTGATGGTGATGAGGAGACTCCTAACAAGAAGAAGTTGAAGTTGATGTTGTCTAGGTCCAGGTCAAGGTCATACTCAAGGCTTCCAAATGAATTGGTGCCTGGTGAAGGATTCAAAGACTCTGCACAAAAGTCTAAGGCTATTGATTTGGCTAGGAACTCTTTCAAGGTGCGGAACAAGGCAGTCTGCAAGGGTGAAGGTGATAGAACTATTCCTAATGTGAAACCAAAGCACTTGTTTTCTGGCAAGCGTTCTAACGGAAAAACACAAAGATGTTAAGGTATACGAGGTTCTGATGAAGTTGTGCAAATATTTGGAGTGTTGTGTATCTCAGCTTGTTGTTCTGGGGAGTCGGATTGGATCCACCGAATACTCCTCTCTGTTTGGTTTTGCAAGTTATTTAGTGTTGCTTCTTATGTTTCTTTTTTGTCGCTCCATATAATGTTTATTTTTGTTATTTTCTCAAGGGATTAAGTTTTTAACTTTTTTTTAAAAAAAAAAGAAGAAGAAGAAATCGACATGAGTACGGCGACAACGTGGTCCGTTGAAGAAATCAACATGAGTATGGCGACAACGAGGTCCGTAGAGGGGGCTGGGGGAGCAGGGGAGGAGGGTGGAGGTGTAGGGGGCTGGGGTGCAGGGGAGGAGGCTGGGGTGCAGGGGAGGGGATGGGGTGAAAGGGAGGGGTTGGGGGTGCAGGGGAGGGGCAGGGGTGAAAGGGAGGGGGATGGAGCTACGTGAGGGGCCGTAGGCGGTTTCACGTGGCGGTGGCGGTGTCGAGGCGGTAGTTGAGTGATGGTTTCCGGCGAAAAATTTGATAGAGAAAAGTCGTCGGAAAATTTTTTCTAGACGACACAGTAACACGTTTTCCGGTATAGTGACATCTGAAAGTGACATAAAAACCGGTAGTGACATTTCATAATGACATAAAAATCTGGTAGTGACATAAAAATCCGACAGTGACATAAAAAATGGCAGTGACATCAAGTTTTTCCAACTATGTGACCTTTTAGTCACTTTTTTGTCCTTTTGTAAAAGTGGTCTTATTTCTGGAAATTAGCTTCAACTTAATAATATTCAAGGAAAAGCCCAATTTTTATATTAAGTCTAGTATGTTTATTCTTCAACCTGGTCAAACTCATATCCCTGAACCCACCACTGGTATCAAAAGTACTTCTGCAGCGCTACTCATTATGTGTGGGTTCATAGATATTAAGACCGTGAATCATTTTTGGGTCAAATAACCGATTAAAATGACCACACAGGGTTAAGTCGGGTACATGTTGAGTGAAAGGGGGATAGAGCCCAATCTCGAGAAAGACGTGCATGATGAGTGAAGGCCATCATGAACACGGAAGCCCAAAAGAACATGAAAGACGTGCAGATGTTAACTGGCAGATCTGGCGATCCCCTTTTTCCAAATTATGAAGAAAACAAACCCATTTGAATGGACCCGGAATGCCAAGCAGCGTTTGAAGATTTCAATCTATACCTCTCCTCGTCTCTCGTCCTCACAAACGATGTCCCGTCTCCCATCTCCCCACTTCTTGAATCTATCATCAATCTGTAAATCTAGACCTTCCTTGAGTTCTTTCTTCTCTTCTATAAAAACTTTCATTTTATTATGTCCTCCTCCTCTATTTTTTATCTGTCAATTTTTATTTATATTTCAAGAGTTCTTATTTAATTGGGAAAATCACAGTTTTGGTCCATCAATTAGCCACCAAATTGAAATGTCAGACTCGATGTCTGTAATTTTGGACTAACAATAATTTCATCGGGGATGACATTTACAACACACTTGTCCATTCGGGGTGACATTTGCAATCTCAAAAACACGAGTCTGACATTTCAATATGATGTCTAATTGAGGGACCAAAAGTGAAATTATCCCTATTTAATTTGATTTTTGTTGGTTTACTTTTTATTATTTTTGAATTTGACAATAACATAATTTTAATCATTTTCCTCATTAAATACCATCTATTGGAAAATTTATTTCAGTCATATGTCATTTTTCAGGAAATGCCTTTATAGTGTTAGTGCTTTGAATCTGAAAATGTCACTTCGAGAATGAAAGTGTCATTTTGAAAGTGTCATCTTATTTCTGCAAGGATGACAATTCTATCATTAAGATGAAACTTCAAGTGCAAAATGACACTCCAGCAAAACGACACTTCTATGGTAGTCATACCAAATCAGAGGTCAAATCGAAGATTTGTCGTGGTAGGTGGTGGATGAAGCCACTAGTGCCGCCTGTGGCGGCAACACTGTCATAGGTGGTGGCAACGCCACCAATGGAGGCGGTGGTGTTGGAGATGGCGATGATAGTGGTAGAAGCAGCGACCGATGGCGGAAGACTTGTCGTCTGCAATGATAAGGGTGGCGGCAACAAGGGAAGAAAAGAGAAGATAAGGGGTCCGGGCCCACACAGTAGCGGTTCCGGGCCGGTTCTGGGCCGGCCCGGCCTGATTTAGTCCATCCCTAATTGAGCTTGTGGGGTAAAGTGATATGGCCTTGAGCAGTACGTACATTGGCTGGTGGGAATTGATCTCCATAAATTATGTGAGGGTATATGTGTCATTTTATTCATATCACTTTACTTAATAAGTAAAGTGGAAAAACATTTTAGGATAGCCAAAAAAGAAATTTTTTAAAACAAATTGGGACCGAAAGATATTTATTTTTACTAGTTTGATTTAAATCATAAGCAAATCAACTTGATATTTATTAGAGTGTTTAGATCAGGCTACTCTTTTTTACTCCTAAGACCTAAATCTAAGAGAAAGCTGGACTCCTATTTGGACATAATTCTTATGCTTTATTCCTATTTCCTACATGAGTAATTAACTCTTGTTTGAATGATTTTGTATTATGATGGGTTAATTGTTGTTTTTTATATAGTTAAGGCAGCCCGTTTGGCAGTTTTCCTAAATTAAAAGGTCAAAGTTAATAAATCTGCTAGAACACTATGTTTAGCTTAAATTTGAGTTGTTCACCCAAAATAGCAAAATACAACTCCAGAATATCAAACGAATTTAAGAACATTACAACTTGCAGCTGCCTTTGAGAAATAATTATAATATACAAAGTTATCAATCATTCTTCATTACAGCACCTCTCCGAAGTCGTAATATCTAAACCTGCAAAGGGGTTCATCCAAGTATTATTAGAAACATCATCAATTTACACCAGAATAACAAGGCTTAATCTTCTTTCAGCATATTAAAGTAATCACAGTTTAACCAACCATATGGACAGCCACAAAATTTATCAATCACTTGCAGTAAGCATTGCTATAAATATCGCCTCATTGATCTCAGGGCCGGCCATAGGGGGAGTTACCCTAGACAAGTGTCTAGGGCCTCCAAATTTTAGGGACCTCTAATTTATAAAATAAGCTTATTAATATTATTTAGGAGACTTTGTCCGGCCGTAAACATTTGGGATAGTTTCCTTTGTAATTTTTGATGATTTTTTTTAGAATCTTATTCATTATGTCTAGTTTACTCATACCAAATTTCACCTAAAAATTCAATCGGGAAGACATTCAAATGAATTCTTGAAA